CTTGTCTGGTCCAGGCTCCAGTTATATTGCTGAGTGCGATGTATAACCCCCACCTAAGGTCATCAGCCTGTGTCTGAACCAGACACTGACAGGAATGAGTGAGTGAGAATGAGTGAGTGAGTGAGTTTAGTTTTACCGCCTCAGCAATATTCCAACTATATGGCGGAGGTCTGTAAATAGTCAAGTCTGGATCAGACAATCCAGTGATCAACAGCGTGAGCATCGATCTGTGCAATTGGAACCATACTCGCTGGCCAGAATGGCGCGACCAAGGTCAGTTGTAGTGCCTGTGTTTGTGTGATCTTCAACAGTACTTTTCGGGTTGTAATATCAGTGGTGGAAACGCGATAAGCGTTTAGTCCTTCCCATGATATGTTCAGTGCATCCGTTGCCCAGGCTTCAGGATCTGGAACTGGTGAGACAAACGTCTGTAGTCGTTTGCTGAACCTCGTGGCAAACAGGTCTATGCATGGGGATCCTATTTCCCTGATGATGATCCGAAATGCTTCTGGATGGAGTATCCATTCCGTAGGTGACGGGTGCAGTGGTCGGGAGAGAGCGTCTGCAAGCACGTTATTGGCTCCGGGTATGTGACACGCCTTTATCCAGATGTTTGCCTCCTCCGTGATATCAAACAACTGGAATGTGAGCTGTAGTAGGCTTGGTGATCTTGTTGATCCTTGCCGATTTATGGAGAATGCCACTGTAGAGTTGTCCGTGTGGACCATCAGCATTCTGTTGATCAGCGAGCTCGACCATAGTTGTAAGGCCCATGCACCTGACGCAGGCAACTCCTGCCAGAAGGATTCCTGAGGAGCAGACAGAGGAATGATAGAGGTAGTGGAAGATGCCCATGCACCTGACGCAGGCAACTCCTTGCCAGAAGGATTCCTGAGGAGCAGAGAGAGGAAAGATAGAGGTTGTGGAAGATGCCCATGCACCTGACGCAGGCAACTCCTGCCAGAAGGATTCCTGAGGAGCAGACAGAGGAAAGACAGAGGTTGTGGAAGAAGATGCCCATGCCAGCACCTGAAGCAGACAGAGGCAACTCCTGCCACGCAGGCAACTCCTGCCAAGAAGGATACACGTGGAGGAAACATGATGGGAAAGGAAGCAACACTTCCATGCTAGTTTCGTGTCTAGAGCAATCCCTGTCAGTTTTTTTAAAAGCCTCTAAGGTAGTATGCAGAAAACATAGAAGACAGCTTCTTATATGTATTGTGATGTGATCAAAGTATTATAGGGGTGAGGTGAGGTGAAATTGGGTTTAACGTCGTACTTGAAAATATTTCGCTCATATGACGACGTGCATGCGTGTGTATGTGTATGTGCGGCTGCTTGTACTATCCCAGACGGAAGCTGGTTTTATAGTGCTAGCCCACTGAGATACAATGCTGCAGTGAAGCATGAATACCCCACTCAGACACATTATACTGACTCCGAGCCGACCAGTCCTTGTTGTACGCATTAATGCCAAGCACCAGGCAGGGACCAACAAGTACCATATTTTAACGTCTTTTGGTATGACGTGGTTGGGGATCGAAACCGCGCCTTTCCGCTCTCCGGGCGGACGCTCTAACCACTACACCACGGAGGCGGTCTAAAGTATTATAGGGTAAGTAGAACGTGGCACAACTACTGTATGTGTATCACTACATCTCTCACTAAGTTTTTATGCCACTTTCAGCAATATAAGGGACACCAGAAATGGGTTTCACACATTGTATTGTGGGGAATAGAACCCGGGTCAAGACGAGAGAACACTTAAACCACTAGGCTAAGATACAGCCTCTGATCTCTCACTGAAAATACATCCTTTACGACTCTTAACCCCCACTCTATTGGTGCACATGTGGGTTTCAGATTTCAAAATACAATGCCTGTCATTACTTGATTAAATGAAAGACAGTAAAATGTCAAATGTAGCACAGATTTTCCATAGCAGCCTAATGTGTGAGTTCTAAGCAGGGATTTGTCTCCATATTCTGAATTTCCGACTGAAACTTTACCAATTAATGTTTAACATGAAATAAATAAAGATTTTGGCTTTGCACATGTAACCTGTATTCCACTTTTTCCAGTCTTGTCTGTGAGGAAGATTCAGTCAATGATCCAAAATAAACCCATGGGGCTGGCATAGTGACTTGGTTTAGTATGTTACTGTACCACGGTGGGAGGATCGATCACTGGCTTGTCTGGTCCAGGCTCCAGTTATATTGCTGAGTGCGATGTATAACCCCCACCTAAGGTCATCAGCCTGTGTCTGAACCAGACACTGACAGGAATGGTGAGTGAGTGAATGAGTGAGTTTAGTTTTACGCCGCTCTCAGCAATATTCCAACTATATGGCGGAGGTCTGTAAATAGTCAAGTCTGGATCAGACAATCCAGTGATCAACAGCGTGAGCATCGATCTGCGCAATTGGAAACCTATGACATGTGTCAACCAAGTCAGTGAGCCTGACCACCCCGATACCGTTAGTCGCCTCGTACGACAAGCATGGGTTACTGAATATTATATATTTCAATATTCTAAGGCGGACCTTCATGTGTTACTGACAGGACGAACAATCACCACAACGGAGGATATGCAATCAGCAAATACAGCCAGGTCTTCCAATCTTCACGAGATGGTTAATGCAAACGTCGAAGATCTATTTGTCCAAGGAATCCCCTTTCAGCAGATATTGGTATAAAATGAATATTATATATATGATATTTGTTCCACAAGTATAAAAACACCAAATTTCACATAGAAATCAGTGTGCATAAATGGCCAATAAATTTGGCTTTCAAAAAAGGCTTCCAAATAAAGAAATTTGGACACCAATTGAGGACATTAGCATGACACCCCTGCCATGACTGATAAAGACCTTCAACAGCCCATAGGTTTCCATAGAAGTACTGGAGACACAAATGCCATATTATGTCAACTAGCCTTCGTTTGGCCATTGTTCCTGTACAATAGTCATTTGTACAGGATATTGATTCAAATATTGATACATCAATATTTGCTTCAGTTATCCTTGAAGTCACATGATGGCGGCTGCCACTGCAGATGTACCAGTGTGTGAGATGGCACCTGGGTGGATGAGTGCCCACACTAGTTGCACAGATGGAAGAAGTGCAGCTGGGGGCTGGGCAAACGGTGCCTAGCAACAAGTCATTGGCTTACATTGGTTTTGTTCATCTCAATGCTATTCATTCAGATAAACTGTTTTGAGGAATGAATAAGTTTATGAATAGGTGTCGTGACATGCTCAACACTCTCACTTTCTGGACCTTTTTGTGACCTAAGTTTCCCACAGAGAAATATCTGAATGATATGACCTTCAACATCGATGGATAATCAAATTCGCTATTCTTCAATGATTTAAACAAGCAACCATACTACCAGCACACAAGACAATTTTTGGGTGGAACTGCTCGTTTGCTGACTTGATGTTTATGAGTGAGAGAAAATATGTGCTAATTTCTAAGGTAGTGATTTGAGATCAGGCTGATGACAACAGTTGCAGAACAATGCTATGGTGCCACATTGGGTCAGGCTTTGATCACCACAGAAAGGAAGTTGTTTGTTGTTTAACACCACTCTACAATATTCCAGCTATATGACGGCAGACTGTAAATACACAATCAGGACCACACTATCCAGTGATCAACATCAGGAGCATCAAGAGGAGGTGTAAAACCATGGAGGTGTGAACGTAGGTGTCATGCAATGGGCCGGAGCTTGTAATGTTATATCAATATACAATTAGGACCACACTATCCAGTGATCAACATCAGGAGCATCAAGAGGAGGTGTGAACGTAGGTGTCATGCAATGGGCCGGAGCTTGTAATGTTATATCAATATACAATTAGGACCACACTATCCAGTGATCAACATCAGGAGCATCAAGAGGAGGTGTAAAACCATGGAGGTGTGAACGTAGGTGTCATGCAATGGGCTGGAGCTTGTAATGTTATATCAATATACAATTAGGACCACACTATCTAGTGATCAACATCAGGAGCATCAAGAGGAGGTGTAAAACCATGGAGGTGTGAACGTAGGTGTCATGCAATGGGCCGGAGCTTGTAATGTTATATCAATATACAATTAGGACCACACTATCTAGTGATCAACATCAGGAGCATCAAGAGGAGGTGTAAAACCATGGAGGTGTGAACGTAGGTGTCATGCAATGGGCTGGAGCTTGTAATGTTATATCAATATACAATTAGGACCACACTATCTAGTGATCAACATCAGGAGCATCAAGAGGAGGTGTAAAACCATGGAGGTGTGAACGTAGGTGTCACGCAATGGGCTGGAGCTTGTAATGTTATATCAATATACAATTAGGACCACACTATCTAGTGATCAACATCAGGAGCATCAAGAGGAGGTGTAAAACCATGGAGGTGTGAACATAGGTGTCATGCAATGGGCTGGAGCTTGTAATGTTATATCAATATACAATTAGGACCACACTATCTAGTGATCAACATCAGGAGCATCAAGAGGAGGTGTAAAACCATGGAGGTGTGGAGGTGTGAGCGTAATGTTATATCAATATACAATTAGGGTGTCATGCAATGGGCCGGAGCTTGTAATGTTATATCAATATACAATTAGGACCACACTATCCAGTGATCAACATCAGGAGCATCAAGAGGAGGTGTAAAACCATGGAGGTGTGAACGTAGGTGTCATGCAATGGGCCGGAGCTTGTAATGTTATATCAATACACAATGTTAATGAGTATGAGTAACCGGCCCAAATTTCTTCCATCTCCACCAGTACTAGCAATTAATTGGTTCATTTTACTTCTATGTCACAACTTCAACAGAAGAAACAATTCATATACTTCCAGGGCTCCAGATAATTTTTCAACATCAGGAGTATGTACTCCTTATTATTTCAATACAGTCAGGCCGCGGTAATCCGGTCCTCGTTAATCCGAATCCACCGACTTCCGAACGCTACTCACTGGGCACCAAATCATCTCCCTATATATTGTATATAATTGACACCTCGTTAGTCCGATGATTCAGTTTCCGCCTCCGAACGCTGGTCAGTCGGAACGGATTGGACTAATTAAGTTGTAAACAGCCGCGTTAATCCGAACGATTGAAGTTAACCGCGCTGCTGACTTGTCCAATCAAAGTGACACGTTGTTTGTTTAGCGACTTAGCGACTCATCCCTTTGATCCCTTTATCATAAGTGATAGGGAAATTTCGACGACCACGCTGTTTTGGGAAAGACTTCAATCCAGAAATATATGCTCGGTACCGTTTCAACACGAATTAAAATTATAAACTATTTTTCGCAATGTTATTGAAAACAACGATTCTCGGACACATGCTTCGGCAGCGGGTCCACAATAACATTGTCATAGAGCAAAGTAACGATGTTTCGAGGAATTCATTAAATAAATTGAATAAACTAATGAATAAAATCAACAAAATATATACATGAAGCATTTTTGTCACAGGTCATAACCTAGCACGATACGTCCAATAAGTTCCATAATTTACGTGTAGGTAGCGATTTCTTGCTTAATATGTTCAAAATAGCATTATTTTACCCAAAACTTTCGTCTAAATCTAAAAGTTTTCGTTTACGAGGACGGTATCCATTGCCGTAATATGATTGGCTGCCTTAGGTCACATGTCTGATTTTGACCAATCACGACCCTTATAGCAGACTGTAGCGAAAAAGCGTCATTAGAAACCAATTTTTATCCAATAAAATCGCTTCTTACAACTGTGAAAATACTCTCGGCAAGGGTTCAGTGATGTTGTTGATGTTCAGAGCTTGAACGATACCCGACATCAAACGATTCGCCTCTGATGGCGTAAAAATGAAAATATAAAAGAAAAAGGCACGGGCATGTTATGACATGTCACAAATGGAAAAAAATCGCCATAGTTTTTGCTTCTTTCGTGGTTTATCTGGACGTTATAAATGTAAGCTTGCATTTTCATTCAAAAATAATTTTAGGATTAGATCTTTTAAATGGTGTATGGGATGTAGTAGCAATAACGTTTTACAAGCTTATAATTTCCTTCATAAACATAGGCTTCATCTATGACCTCAGAGTCTCGATAGTAAGGAAAGATATCAAGGGGAAGTAACTCGGTGCATATACTGTGGTTTCAGCAGTACGAACGTTTCACTATCCGAACGTTTTTTAAAAAAAACCAAAGTGTTCGTATTAACGAGGTCTGACTGTATATGAGTACTGGAAAACAATAAGAGTACATTTAGAGTACTGAGTGGAATTTAATGGTGTATCATTAAACTTGTGCTTAGTTTCATATATGCATGACAGCATTGCTACTCTGGTGTAAATGGTCAATAAACTAAACAATACTTTTTCAGATAAATATGTCTGTAAATGATTCTAAGACCGTACACAATTGCTGTGGTGCGTATCTGCTACGTTTTCTAAATTATTTCCTACCGTATCGTGCATATTTTTTATCCGTACATACGCCGATACGGCCCTTATCTGGAGCCCTGCACTTCTGTCAATAAACCTATAAAGCCAGAACCCAGTGTGTTTTAAAACTGTCAGAAGTTTAGACCCAAACTAAAGTCCATATTTGTGTTAAAACTAGGAATGCAGTAAAGACCATGAGATGATGAAAGGAACCCCCTGACCTGCAGGTAACCTCAAACTCTTTCCAGAAGTACATCAAACTGTAATGCCCCACAAAAGGAATGTCAAAAAACATTTTGATTCTTCAAAATTAAGAAAAATCAATCCCATGCATTCCTTCAATGAATGCTAATGATGAACATCAAATAAAGCACCTGTAATTGTCATTATTCACTAGCTTAACTTGCCTTGCCATCAAATGGATTGTAAGTCAACAAGATTCTTGGGATACAAAAAAACCCCAATACTTACAATGAGGCTGACTGGCACCAAATAAAGATGTCCAACACAGTCTTTGAACGTTTGTTTGAATGTTTAGTGTCTTGTTTAACTTGGCAACAGACACCATGTGGCAATATATGGTTAACAAGTGATTGACATAATGAACAACATCCTTTGTCATGGGGTGAGTGCATGTTTTTTTTACGTAGTAGTTAGCATTATGTCAGTTTTAATCAACATCATTCAGTCTGGGCAAGGATAACTGTAGTGGTTGACTTATGAGGCTACATTCAACAGTATTGGGGGCCACTGACACAGAACCATTCCAGAGACATATTGTGACTAGAACATGATCTTTTTTATGAAGATCTTGCATAAACCTGATCCCAAGTTTCTTCGATGGAGCTTAATTCCATGGAAAGAATTAGATGGCTTTATAGTTTTTCATGTTCATAATTAATAACTGCACTTCTAAATCTGTCTTCATACTGGAAATATAATATGGCATGTGTGCCCCAGGAAACGTACCCAGAGTTTGTACAGAATGGCAGTCACTAAGTCTAAGGAATTTTCTTATAATGTTCAAGGCTCTCCCTACAACATTCAGAACCATGCAGATTAAATTTCAAAATAAAGATGTGGACCAAGAGTTGCCTGACGTAATCATAAGTGAGAATAGCCATGCCATTAGCATACACAAAGTCTTAAGGAACCTCGCTGTAAAGTATTCAAACATGTATAGCATAAGATGCAATAAGGGGAATGTTTAGTCCCTGTAGTGTCTGAACATATTGTGCACATACTTGTAATGTACACGTCATGTGACTTCACATTGTTATTTCCTTATTATTGTGTTATTTCTTAATTATTGACCCACTGTCATGATATACCACATTTAGAAATATTTGTCTCTCCTATGATGAATCTGAGCAGAAGTAAATAAATTACACCGAATGCAGCATAATGAGTACGGTAATGATACATTCACCCTGGACATGTGGCTGTTAAACAAAAATACAACAGACAAATCTTGGCCTAGATAGAACAACTGCAAATTAGATCTTGTACAGTAACTGAACTCGTGTCTTTAATCAATTGCAACTATACAGTCACATGTATCGATATCGGTACACATAAACGAAGAATATGGGATAACATTTTTCTTCCTGTCTAAAATCTTGAGACCTAAACTTGCAACTGACAAACTTGTTTCTTAGACTTAGCAGCCTATTCATCGGAATCACGCTAAAAACATGGTAGGCTTCTGCCACTGTTGGCAACAGTGTATGTTGTATATAATACTTACGCTTGTCTATATGCCACGACGTTAGATGTGCACATATATGTTAAAAGGTTGCACAATTTAAGTGGTCGAAATATATCGCCGATCGATCACCATTCACAACTTGGCGCCATGGCCGAACCGGAAGTAAAAGTGATTGGCGCGATTTTTCTGCACTGTAGCCAATGAAATAACGAAGTCACATTAACTGCTGTCTTGTATGCTACTAAAATTAGATACAGGGAGAAGGTATGTGTTCTATTTGTGTACTTATTTCCTGACAAATAGGCCTTTATTGTCTTTGCTATTGCTCAAACTTTAATGCATGCTAAACTTTAACAAGACTGCTAACTGCCCTGCACAACGGCTTCCCCCAAAGCATCCCTGGTGCCACGTTATGTGTGTGCAAAATGTAGGCCTAGTCTCTCTTGAAGGCCTATTTTCCCGTCATGGTCGAAGACGAGCAAATTTGATACCATGCCGCCGCTAAAAAGGTCGTATTTTCATCGACTAAATAGATCGGCCACCATTTTAGCTGTGTGTGTATTTATCATAGTGTAGATTTAAATAAGGATGCGCTCCGAATCGAGCGATCCGTTTCCAATTTGACAGGTTGTGAGTGTAAATAGAACGGCAACGGCGTGGCTGAGCTATGAAATTGACATTTGGTTTCCTGTCCCGATCGATTCGAAGTAAATAATCAATATTAAGCAAATGATGAAATATATAATTTTATTTAACAGACGGTGTATTTCAAAATGAATTCAGTATGTATTTTGTGTATTTTCAATGTACGGATAATCCTCCGAGAGCGCGTTCTGGCTATTGACACATTTGTAAACATAAACTAGACCACGATAACTGGGTCTCGGCAAGGTGCTGTCATTCATTGATTCACACCTGTTTGTGGGGTGAACCAGCAGATTTCCCCTTCATTTCACACAACTGACAGATATATTATTCTTTACACCATTTTAAAAAGACCAATTTAACATTAGACCCCTCGATCAATGCTTCATAAACTTGTCTGCTGACTGAAGATTTTCAGTTGTTTGTTTTCTCGCTCAGCTTATCTACATGGCCCTTTTGTCTGAGAAATGTCTGACCTCCATATCCAAAGCAAACCCAGTAACCTGTTCACATATGTATTTTTCAGGTCATGATACAAATGTCCTAAAATCTTTGTACACATATGAAATAATATAAAGCATAGATTTCTAATTCAAATTTATGTCATAGTTTATCAATATATGTTTTTAATAGGTGTACAATTTGAAATGATATATAGTAGAGGATTTTTCCAATTGTGCTTTGATCCCATGAATGTCAGTAATCTTCATGATAATTTAGAATCATTTAAAAGCTTCACTTGTTCTTCAGACTTGTAATTAGGTAAATATATACACGATACATGCTCTAATTAGATGTTACATCATGATGATTGCATTGTTTCAATGGTAAACATTTTCACATAGGGCCATACTCCCGTAAAGTCACTGAAGCTGAACTGCATTCAAGCATGAAATTGGCTGATCCCCTCACACAACAGAAAGTCAAACATAAAAGAAAGTTGAGAGTATTTTATAATTGGGTAAAAAGTGACAGTTGGAATGTGTCTTGTTCAATCTGATAAGGCAGTAGAAGGCAATATGAAGTTCTTAACAGATCCTAAAAATAAGCTCTGTTGAATCACAACTAGGTGAGTACAAAATTAATGTTAATGTTATTTAGGTATTTACCTTGAAGTAAAATTTATTTGTAGGTCAACTGTCTGTGAGGGAAGGGTTAACTTCTGACAACTCATCCTTGAAAATGACATTCCGGTTGACGTACCTGTACGCTATACATGCCATGTCTGATAATCCTGACAAAATCACAACTAAAACATCAGCAATAAAACAACTAAAACATCAGGCAGAAATTAAGCTCAGATGTTTGCTGGTCTGATGACTGAATACTCATGAAAATATAGTATAGTGAAAATAGAGTACATTAGGAACTGTATATTGATGTACTTTTACAATTTTACAGGATGTGTTTTGAGTGATTTAATTGATAGATTCTGTCCTTTATTGAAATATTCCTTTAAATTTAATGTTACCAAAATATATACAGACAAATATGTAACTGACTCTCATAACTTTTGGTGCAATACTTGCTTAGGGGTAGAGTTAAATGCGTTTTTGACGCCATACTGTATTATGAGCCACATTCGACACCAAGCCACCAAGCATGACCACCTGAACCATTTCGTCACCTCCAACAGGCATAGCTCTCTTTGGACCTGTACAAACCTGTAGTGCTTGCCAGGTTTAATTCTGTTAAACACTGAAAAAACAAAACAGTTAAAGTTAAAAATACCTGTGCTGATTTAATATGTATGCCAAAAAAACCATGGGGATCAGTTACACAAGACAATGTATTAAAATGCATTATGTTTGTGTTATCACCTTTACGGTCTTCAGCTTATGAACTATTATAAATGTGTAAGTCAACTATTTTTTCGACTATCAACTGGCATATTACAGTCTGTGACTTTATGCCATGTCTGAGGACCAAGTATGCTAAAATTCAGTTAACTGTTTTAAGCTTTGTTAATAGCATAACAATGAGTAAAAAACCAGGCAGGTGCTATTGACTATTATGCCTCACATATAATTATGATATCTATCATATAGACTATTGTATTTCACATATAAACTAGTGTGTCTGGCATATTGACTACCATACAAAGCAAATTGACTCGTATTGACTACCATGTGTAGCAAATCAACTATCATATCCAGCATGTTGACTGCCATATCTAGCAGATCAACTTTGTATCTGGCATATTGATCATCGTATTTGTCATATCTAGAATATCGGCTGTAGTGTTTAGCATATTGACGATTGTATATAGCATGTTGACTGTCATGTCTAGCATTTTGACTCATATCTAGTTTATCAACTATTGTATGAACATAAGTACAATTGTATTTAGTATATGTACTGTTTTGTGTAGCATATGGACGGTCATATACATTGTATACTGTATCTTACCCGAGAAGGTCCGGGGTAGAATATAGATCTTCAGTAACCCATGCTTGTCGTAAGAGGCGACTAACGGGATTGGGTGGTCAGGCTCGCTGACTTGGTTGACCATGTCATGGATTCCCAATTGAGCAGGTCGATGCTCACGCTGTCAATCACTGGATTGTCTGGTCCAGACTCTATTATTTACAGACCGCCGTCATACATCTGGAATATTGCTGAGTGCGGCGTAAAACTAAACTCACTCAGTGACTAATACTGTATCTAACATATCAGTTACATGGAGCTATCATCTATTGTATCAACTAGTGTATCTAGTATATCTACTAAATTTTGTAGCTTATTGACCAACATGTTTATGTGTATTTTGACCGTCGTATTGGTTGTTTTTTCTAGCATATGAAATATCGTATCTAGCATATCTATTATCGTATCTACTATTTCATCTAGCTTGTCAGCTTATAATTATCTTATTTACTTTAACTTCAAGCATATCAACTTTAATCTCTAGCATATCGACTATTACTTTTTGCACATCGACCATTTTATTCCACACGGTGACTTTTCTGTCTGGTATATCAACTCATGTGTACCTTACTGAATATCGTATATCATATGTAGACTTTATAGTTGTAACTGATGGTTATGGAAAGGTTTAGTCCTGGTTTCATGGTTACTATTGAGATAAGGAATCAGTATGCAAGTACTAACGTCTGTAGTTTACAAGGTTTAGATGTGTTGACCACCTTACCAAGACTAGTACTATCTTGTAATGGCATGTTGAGGGAACAATCTGAGACATTAATGTGTGATGTCAACTCATGACACATGTGTATCTGGAATCATCTCATCAGTCCCTGGTGATGGTGAGTTCTGTCTGGAACATTTCTGGCAGCAGTGGACCCTGTCTGATCTATTCTTCAAAACATCCTTCATCTTCTGTTTACCCAGTTGGACCATATCTTCTACTTATGTTATATGGAAATACATCATTTCCTGAAGCAGTGAATCCTGTATACTGTGTTCTTATACTGTGTATATTCCTGATAATAGCAAATCCTTCCTTCCTGTTATCCAAGAACCCTGTCTGATACCTTTCTGGTGGCAGTGAATCCTGTCTGATACCTTTCTGGTGGCAGTGAATCCTGTCTGATGTCTTCTTGGTGGCAGTGAATCCTGTCAGATTCCTTCCTTGTGGCAGATAATCCTGTCTGATGTCTTCTTGGTGGCAGTGAATCCTGTCAGATACCTAACTGGTGGCAGTAAGTGTGTGATGTCAACTCCCTTTCTGAAACATGTGTATCTGGCATCATCTCATCAGTACCTTCTTTGTGGCAGTGACCTTCCTGGTGGCAGAGAATCCTCTCTGATGTCTTCTTTGTTGCAGTGAATCCTGTCAGATGCCTTCCTGGTGGCAGATAATCCTGTCTGATACCTTCTTGATGGCAGTGAATCCTGTCAGATACCTTCCTGGTGGCAGATAATCCTGTCTGATGTCTTCTTTGGTGGCAGTGAATCCTGTCAGATACCTTCCTGGTGGCAGATAATCCTGTCTGATACCTTCTTGATGGCAGTGAATGCTGTCAGATACCTTCCTGGAGGCTGAGAATCCTGTCTGATACCTTCTTGGTGGCAGTGAATCCTGTCTGATACCTTCTTGGTGGCAGTGAATCTGTCTGATATCAGTTAATGCTGTCTGATGTCTTTGGTGGCAGTGAATCCTGTCTGATGTCTTCTTTGGTGGGAATCCTGTCTATACCTTCCTAATCTGGTGGCAGTGAATCCTGTCTGATGTCTTCTTGGTGGCAGTGAATCCTGTCTGATATATATTTGGTGGCAGTGAATCCTGTCTGATGTCTTCTTGGTGGCAGTGAATCCTGTCTGATGTCTTCTTGGTGGCAGTGAATCCTGTCTGATGTCTTCTTGGTGGCAGTGAATCCTGATCTGATATTTGGTATCATGTGAATCCTGTCTGATGTCTTCTTGGTGGCAGTGAATCCTGATATATATTTGGTATCTGTGAATCCTGTCTTTCTTGGTGGCAGTGATGTGGTATCAGTTCTTGGTGGCAGTGATCCTGATATATATTTGGTATCAGTGAATCCTGTCTGATGTCTTTGGTGGCAGTGAATCCTGATATATATTTGGTATCAGTGAATCCTGTCTGATGTCTTTGGTTGGAGAATCCTGGCATATGTCTTCTTGGTGGCAGTGAATAT